CCCGGGAAGCATTGACTCGTTCAGTGATTTGGCCTCAAAATTCAAGGCCAAGTTCCAGGAGAATTGTACTAAGAGGAAGAAATTCACCTATCTTAGTACAGCCGGGCAGAGGGAGTCTGAGAACCTGACTCAGTTCCTTACCCGGTGGAAGGAAGAGGTGGACAAGGTGGAAGAGATGGATGACAAGACCGTCCTCTCCCTCCTCTTGAATGGCTTGCGTGCCGGGGAACTATACAAGGAGTTCTGCCGGAAACCCCCAGCCACGTACCAAGAGGCCTACCATACTGCGTGGGAGTTTGCTGAAGCTGAAACCCAGCTCCGGGCAAAGAGAGAAGCTGAGCATGGTCACAAGCCCAAGCCGGTGCAAGTCAAGAAGGAAGAAGCACCGGGACCTAGCCGGCCGAGGCACCACTATGACCCGGTCATCCGAGTGGTCAATACAGAAGAATGCCAAGAAGTCCAGAAAGCACCGGTCATTCCACCAGAAAACCCTACCGGTCAAGTAGGGCGGCAGTGGTCGGGCCCCTATTGTTCGTACCACAGGTCTGATTCCCATAACACCTCCGAATGCAAGAGTGTTAAAGGGTCATCCGGCAGATGATCGACAGTGGAGAGCTGGGCAAAGATTACTTGCAGAAAGCCCAGGAGAAGAGTCATCAGTGGGTTAGGCCAACTGCCCTAGGGAATGACCGGGACAATGACCGGCGGAGGAATAACCGGCCAAGGGAGCGGCAACCTGCCCCCGAAAAAGAACACATCGGCATGATCTTCGGCGGACCCGAGGGTGGAGATTCAGCCGCGCAGCGGAAGAACTGGGTCCGGAGCATTTACGTTGGAGAGGTAAGTGCTGAACCGCCCAGGCGTAAGCATACTAGGAGGGAACCTATCGTCTTTACTGACCGGGATCTCCCTCCTACCGGTGAAGATCACAATGATCCATTGGTCATCACCATGGACATTAATGGGGTGGATGTCGCCCGGGTGCTTGTTGACACCGGCAGCAGTGTCAACATCTTATACCTGGAGACTTTCCAAAAACTCAGGTTGTGTCGAACACAACTTGAACCCCTCAAAACCCCTCTCTCAGGCTTCACGGGGGACACCGTTGAAGCTGAACGATCCATAGTTCTACCGGTCGAACTAGGATCAGGTGAAAAGACCGTGTGGAAGAAGATGCGGTTCATAGTTGTGGACATCAAGTGCGTCCACAACGCAATCCTAGGAAGGCCAGGCATCAATAAGGTCGGGGCGGTGATTTCCATGCCTCATCTATGCATGAAGTTCCACACTCCAGGTGGTGTGGGTGAGGTGAAGGGCGACCAGAGGAACGCCCGGGAATGCTATGCCCGGGCAGTCAAGAAAATGACCAGGGGGGTCAATGTCATCTCCCAAGAGATCACAAAGGGAGAGACCCGGGAGAAACTGGAACCCGAGGCTGAGACGGTGGAAATCGAACTTCACCCGGGTGATTCTTCGAGGATGGTCAGAATTGGAGCAAATCTCCCCGAGGATCTCAAGGAGCAGATTACACGGGTCCTCCAAGAATACGCGGGCATATTCGCATGGAGCGTGGCGGATATGCCCGGGATAGATCGCTCTGTTATCTGCCACCGGTTGGCCGTGAGGGAGGGAAGTCGACCGGTACGCCA